TTGTGATTAGCTAATGCTAGAAGCAAAAGTGTGCTTAATTATCGAAAAGCACGTAAAATTAATTGTAAATTAATATTAATTTTTAAAGATTCAAAATGATTTATGGAGCAAAAATATAGCCAATTAACGGAGAGAAAGTTTCTTTTGTACAAATTCGCCCGAAATTTTAGGAATTATGTTATCTTTAGCAAATAGTTAAATCCGACACTGGTTACAGGTGTTCCCTATATTATTTACAATAATTTTACCATTTTATTTGAATTAATTCATTTTACTTTTCAAATATTATTTATGCAATATTATTTATTTTAAAAATTTTCCAACAGCAAAGTGATATTGAAAAATTAAATTACATGTTGATACAATTGTTGTTTTTCTACTTCCTAACGATAAAAATAAATAACCAAAGAATGGGACACATATTTGCTTTTTTTTATCACAAGAAATTTTCCACAATACTTTATTGTAAGGATATTATTATCCTTAAAATAGTTTACTCAAGGACGATTTAAATTAAGTTAAATGTGATAGGTGTTGTTTATACGAGTATGCTTGGTTTTCCCCTTTAACTTTATTTTTATTTTTTCTGCTTTTTTTTTATTTCAAGTTTAATTTATCGACAAAGGAACAATATCAATTGAATTTACAAGAAAATGTTATAAATTTGTTTCTATATTTATAATTTTAAAATTGTTTAAAAAAAATTATGTTATAAATTTAATAGAAAGTTTTCCATACAGGGGGATTCAAGTTACAATTTACCGTATCATGTTCAAATTCAATTTACCGTTGGTTTTAATACGCGATTGCTAAATTGTGTTAAAGGTTTCAAGTAAAGAACGTTATGATAGGGTAAAGAACAAAGCCATTTATGAGTAATTTCATGTTAAATAGATTCTTGCCTTGGGAAATGTTATAATGGAGGATTTAATAGGCATTATTATTGTTTTGGTCTTGAATTGCAATGTTGAAATCAAAAATCAAATTAATTGATTACAAGTTTTGCAAGACTAATTAAATTTTTAGATGACTGCAATAAAATAGCATTCGATTAACTTTTGAATTTTTAACGCTGTTATGAAACATGTCATTAAATCTATTATAACGTATAAGATTTATAAACTCAGACTTAAATGCACAAGGATTTGAGATTTCATTTATATTTTTTTTGTTGTAGTTGTTATCCCTTTTCTTCACGGAAAATTGAAAAGTAATTACACGAGAAAGTAATTACATTCATTCATCTATTGTAATTTTATATAATTTGAATGTAGAACATTAATCTGCCACTACTTTTTCAATAACAAACAACATTTCTCTTATGTCACCACGTACATACTGCTAAATAATATAGTTTACCTTAGAGTTGGCAAATATAACTCTTATTCCGTTTATAGTTTATCTTGCTTGCCGATGTACTTATTTCTAAGTTGTTGTGCACGTCCAACAATACTAAACACAATAAAAAAATTAATTTACATTCTTTAGATTCGCAAAGTATGATAATGAGTCTATGGGATTAAAGAATTTCAAAGGATTCTTATAAAACATTTTATTTGTTATTTTAAATTTAAATAGAAAGCTGTTAGATGGGTATGATAAGTTTTTGAGAACTTTTAATGAACTTTTCTCACGTATTTTTTTTTTTTTGTATATGAGGTTTTTAAATAAAGAACTTGTTAAAATTAAAACAAGGACATTATTTGATTTTATTGTAGATAAATCTTGTGAATACAATTTTGAAGAAAAAAAAAATCATTAAAATTGTAACGATTTAAATTTTGAGCATTACTTGTGGATTGTATAATTGGAAAAGATTAAGAAATTATTATTTGAGTTCAAGAAATGCAATTTAAAACATAATACATTGTGGTGAAATTGTCATTTAGATAGATTTTTGAATTGTTTTTGAAATTTTGTCAGAGAATAAATAAGGTTTGAATTATGCTAATTTAAAAGTATAAGAGTTGGGGGGACAAAATCATTAATTATTTTTATACTCAAATTTTTATTTAATTGTACTTGCACTTCCATTCTTATTCTACACTTGCGGTTATTCATAACACACTTTTTGCCCTAAAACTTTTAAATAGTAGTAGCAAAATTTTAACTTTTTATTTGTTTATTGACACAATTTTGAATGCTTTGTTCAAACGCCGAAATTCAACATGTTTCATACATGACTTTGTTTTGACAGCAGTACGCTTGTAAAAAATAGGCGAACTTTTAGTTCAAAGCACAATAAAATGTTGAAAATATTAGGGATTTTCATATACGCAGTGCTGTAAAACAACAACTGCAAATTGAAATACAGCCAAAACCTAATATGATGAATACGCAATATATTTTTACCTATTCTATTGAATTAAAATTGTTCATACGATTTAACATTAAACGGATTTCGCTATATTGTGAAAAATTGGTCATATTTATGAACAAAAATATAGAACAGTTTTCGCCATGTATCGCGGTCATACTTGTGTTGATTAAATGGTCTAATAAATAAGAAGTAAATCATATTAAAAATTTTTAATAAATGAATAGCAATTAATTGCTATTAAAAATTTTTAATAGCATTTGAGGATCTCTTTTTAAAGTTTCTTACTTTGTTCATTAAAATGTTTTCAATGAGATTTTTTTTCTACGCAAAATAATTTTATAATTATGCGTATGTGATCATATTTTTTTAATTATGCTGGAATATTCCAAATTGATAAAATTTAATTAGAAATATTTCCATATTTTTATTGTCAGTTTCATATAGTGTCTTTGAATAATTTTTTCTTAATACATACCATTTTATATTTGTGTAAATTTTCTAATATTGTATGAAATATTTAATAAAATTCTAAATAAAATAGTCTCACAAAATTTCCTTATACATAGTTTTTTCATAATTTAACATAGAATACACATACATGTATAGTCCACATGTGAGCATTCATAGCCTTCTGTTATTAGCATAAGTTTACTTGCACATAAAAATCTCTTCTATGCCAAAAATATGTAAAAATCTGATAAGTAAAAAATTCAATGTTTAAAGCATTTACCATAAAAATAAAATTTATTTGAAAATAAAATTTTATTAATATTATTGGTTGCATTGTGAAAATTTGTAGCCTAAAGCATATTTTTGTTTGCATTGCAGGATAATAAAATTTTCACAAATTGCAATTTTCTTTTCTTTTAAGTTTTTGCTTTGTTCATTGAAAGAAAACTGAAAAAAACATTTTAAATACTTGAAAATTTAAAAAGGATTTTTTAATATTTTTATTTTTTTTTCCGATTTTCAATAAAAGAAAAAATTTTATATAAATTAAAAGATCTTTTGTTGTTTTAAGTGTTAAATTTTCTCAAATTTTTATAAATTTAATTTTAATTTGAGTGCAAGAAAAAAGCGTTGTTAATTTTTTGTTTTAATCTTTCAAGTGGTAAAATAAATATTTTTTTAGTTTGTGTGTTCTTGAAAAGGTCACAGTTTAAGTATTTTAAGACTTTTATTTTTAAAAGTATTTTATTAAACAAATTCCGAAGTGGTTTTAAGGAAATTATCGAAATTCCCGTATTTAAATATGAAACGTGTTCTTTTATGACATGTTTGCTTGTTTATTCTGTTTTTTTATAATTTTTATTGCCGTACTTTAAAATTCCAAGTACCCTACTTTATATTCCTTTTCGATGTTTCCCTATTAACTCGTTCTTCAATTAACGAAATATAAGTTAAAAATAAGTTCAACGGGAAATTCATTTCACGTTTTGAGTCAGACAATTATCAATCGAGATCATAAGAATTAATAGGTTCTGTATTTTGTTTTTTCTTTTTTGAAAATCTGAAATCGCTCATTTATGTTGATATTTTGAAAAAAATAATACTGAATTTGGAGTTGGTTATATTTAGGCTAAAATTAATTTGAATTGAAGAGTGAATCTTTCCAATAGATCGCCCAAAATTACATAAAAGCTCACGATATTCTTCTTTTAATAGAAAATTAAAATTTCAAAATAAAAGTCACCCCTTAAGAACGTTATCAATATACCACCTAAGAAACCTATTAATAGATTTTAGATACCCCGTAAAGTATGCAATTTTTTGAATATCTTTATTTTATTAAGTAATGGTTTTCATTGAATAATAACATGTAACAAGAAAATTATTTTAAATTAATTTTATTTAATGCTTATTTAGATTTTACTTTTAATAATAATACCTTGAGATTAATTGCCTTAAAAAACCATTATTAACGTTTTATTATTACTTTTCTGTAAAAAAATAACCAGCGGCATTAAAAAAATTACGTAATTAAAAAAAAAAACTTTTTTTGTTATCTCAAATTTCCATTGAAATAAAAAAAAAACAAAGCAAATATTAATCAAGAAGATTATTTTATTATTATGAATTGAAGAACATTAATTACTTAATGGATTAATAATTTAGTTAAGTCAATAATAATAAAATTAAAATATAAATTTAAATTTATTTTGAGTTTAATTCCATCTAAATTTTTAAGTAAATAAATTTAACAGTTTTAAGTAAGGATAATATATATATGAGAGAAACAGATTCCCCTGAACGGGGGATACTCCTACCCCACTCGCGGTTACCTTAGAAATCTGCAATCCCTATTAGAAGGATGATATATAAACGAAAGAAACAGATTCTATTCCTTTATATAGATCGTATTTAAATTCTTTCAAAGTGCTTTCATGTTTTGTGCCTTCTATAACTCAATTTTAAGCTTAATAAGTACAAACATTTTTACAAGACTAGTTTTTTTTTAAAGTGGCAATTGGGAGTATTTCCGCGTCTGAACACATTTCCCGATATGAAAAACAAAAATAATTTTAAAATATTTTTTTTCTTTAATAAATTTTGCATAAATTTAATTTTTTTAACAAAAAATGGAAAATTATTATCCTTTAAATAACGAATATAAATATTTGTATTACATTTAATGTTCATATTGTTTAAATATTAATTAAAATTCATTTTCCAATTTCAGATATATATATATATGAAAAGCAAATAACATCCAAATGTGACTTTTTATTAAAACAACACAAAAAAAGAAGGAATAATAATAATATAAATATAAATATAACGAAGACAAAAGGACCAATTAATCAACAAATAATAAGAAAACAAAGAAAAATTGAAATAACGTATGATAACAAAAAAAGAATGAAAAACCCATCGTGTGAATTTTAAAAAATCATAACTGAATACATAATCATTTTTTTTGAGGAACATATACATATTTATATAATTATACATAATAATAAGTCTATATACTTATTTACATAAATTTATATAGTATTATATATACAAAATTATTCGATTATTGCATTCTACTCTTTACATAAAACTATATAACTTATATCAACTTACATATAGTATATGCATACATTTATAGCATACTGACAAATATACAAAAAAATTAATATAACAAAATAGTGGTTAAAAATTTCATAAAATTTATACACACTGAAAAGAAAGAGAAATTGAGCGGGACACAAAAATTTACTAAAAATAAATAAGGAGAAAAAAATATATACATACATACATATATACGTTACATATATTTTTATTATAAACCCGGAAATAAATAAATTTTTCAAAATTTCGTCGAAAAATCATCAAAATAGGAGAGGCATACCAATGCTATGCTGTGGGGTATGCTGTGGCAACATGTCCAAAAGGGACTATAAGGTATCATTTTTTTTTCTATATATTTTCTATTTTAAATATAAGAAATATTTTATTAAAAATTAATTTTAAATTTTTTAGGTTGCGACAACAGATGGAATAGAATTGGAACCGCTTGGAGGTGATAAAACGGAACATGATTTAAAATCCAAAAATAAAACAAATGGAATTAAAAATGGTTTGTAAAAAAAATTTAGAATTAAAATGTTTATATCGAAAAAGAAAAAAAATTATTTTCATTATAATCACATACTTTTGTACTTTTTCATATTTCTCATATAAGAATTAAATAATTTTGTCCTAATAATAGGTGTTGTAAATTGTTACTCTTTATTCTAAAATTTAAAATTTTAAGCTTAATGTTTAATTGTTCGCGTGATTTTGCATTTCAAATTATAATACAAGCGAAATTGATGTAAATTATTTCCTCATAAGTTGATGACCAATCGAACAAGTTGAGCAATTGCCATTGCATCAAAACTGTTCAATTTTTACAACATAATTAACATTTTAATTACGAAATGAATTTATTATTCTTGAAATTTGAATTGGGATTTTTCAAATTGAATTGGGATTTTTCGAAATTTCATTTTATATTCAAACTGATCAATTTCTTATATTATTTCATAGCTTCTGACTACATTGCAAATATAAAAATTTAATAATAATAAATTTTTGAGTAGAATTTCCATTTAAATTAAACAATTTGGTTCTTCTATGCTTAAATTAATTTGCTGAAACATGCCCTATTGGAAATTCAACGTAAATCCTTGTAAGAATACTTAAGTTTATGTAACGTATATACATGAAGCTTAGTATGAATTCGGTACTCTGTCCCATATAATTGAAATTATGTGAAAGCAAAACTTTTAATAAGGTCACTTAATTGCTGATATATCAAAAATTTTCGAATTGTTAAAGTTTATGGGAATTTTTTTGGAATTCGAATTTTCATTATAAATCTAGCTATTCTCTTGCCTTAATATTTAAGACATTTATATTCATTACAATTTTACATATTGAGATTTTAAGGTATAAAATTTTTAATTTTTAATTGTATTTGAATATATGCATAATATGAAAAATAAATGTACATAATAATTTCTTTAACAAAAGTTTCTTATAACCTAGCTATAGAAAATATTGGACTATAATCCATAAAACTTATACGACTCAATTTTCACACAATTAACTGAAAGATTTTTATTAAAATTTAAAGCCAATTATAATTGAAAAGCTATTTTAAATTTAAGATTCATTGACCTTTCTTTATGCAAAATTGTAAAGTTTTTTTTTATTATACATTCAATTATATATATATATTAATATAATAATAATTTAAATAAAAGTCTGTGAAGTTTTATGTGCTCAGACGTAAAATATTATAGAATAGTATAAATTGAATGTTGAAAATGTTGTAAAATTTTTTTATCTTATAAATGAAAATGTTGATAATTGCACATTAATTTATAAAAAGAAACGTGTTTTTGAATTTACTGGAGTAATGCAAGTCAATTTAAGTTTGTTCTATTGTCGTTTTATGTTTATTTTGCCTAAGTTTGGTTCATAGTTTCGTGGTGAAAAGAAGAGTTAACAAATTAAATTTGAATTAAAGTAGCTAATGTTATAGAAAAGATTAAATTATTTTGGAAACATTATGAGAATTTATTTTTTGAGAAATGACCGTCTCAAATCACTAATCATATATTCCACCTTCAATGTTTTCAATTTAAATGCATTAAAGGGAGAATAATTACGCTAAACATTTAGTAGGTTTTCTAAATTCTTAATTTTCTTGTTATTTATAAGAAAAACCTCTATTGGAATAATAGCTTTACTTTATATTTTTACTACCTTTCCAAAAAAAATTTAAAAAAATGTGCTTATTAGTTTCACTCTGTCCGTCCGTCCGCGGACCTGTTTACAAAACTTCTATTTTCCTGAAGATAGAAAGCTGAAATTTAATATGTATATAGGCCTTTACAAGAAACTTATTTCTGTAGAAGAAAATTTTTATCTACGAGTATATCCCCTGCTCTTTAAGTTGTATTAATATTGAGCTGTTAAAATGAAATGTGTGAACACTAAAAGTTTAAATTGTTATGGGCGCAACCACAGTATGCGGTGAAATCGATCATAAATTTCTTCCTTTTAGAAGTAGAAGTTATAACTCTAAGATTTCAAAAAGTAGAACATTAAAATTTATATCTACATATATAAGAAGAGAAGATATGTACAGTAGGATGTGTAATATAAATTTTTAATTTTGGATTTTGAATGTCTAAGTAAAGAAGAAAATGTTTTACACATTTAATATAGAAGCAAATTATTTTATATTTGAATTTTTCTATTTTTTTTTTTAATTTTTACGTTCCAATTCGCTCTTTTTATATTCCCCCTAACGATATACGTAGAACCAGAAAATTCTTAAGGATATTATGGGAATATAATATTTTTTTTTTTTGCATAATGAAAAATTTTTTAAATAGCTTCCTAGTTATTTTTAGAAAAATTGTAATATGTACTTGTATATTTTTCTTTTAAAATATTTTCGGTCACAGAATTTTAATTTTTGCATAGAAATATCTATAAATCTTATTCTTACAATATCTAGTAGTATCTTATTATAGAGAAATGTGTTCTGTGAGACTACATTAACAAAAAAAAATTCTTAAGATTTTCTTAAAATTGATCAAGGAACATAAAAAAGTTCATCTTAAATATAATAAATTGCTATCTAACTCTATAAATAATTGCTATGCTAACTCTTCAAGATATTTTAGGATTGATTGAAAACCGAAAAGGTTTTGAAAAATTTTAATTCCGAAATATTTCCAGCAAAATTAAAATACAATTTTATTGCAAGCGTCTTTTAAAATTATTTGCCAGAGACGATAATTTTTAACATTCCACTTTTTAATTTTTTAAAGAAATGAATGTAAAAATTTTAAACCAAGTTACATAAACAACTCAATTTGCAATATTGCTTTAAATATTTTATAATTAAATCTAACCATTGAGATAATATTAAAGTTAAGTTCAATCTATCTAAAATCTTAATACTACATCAGAACCATCTATTTTATATAGAATTTATGATCAACCACATATAACATGAGTATTTTCTTTTATATTACCGAAATTAACCACATAAACTACAACTCACATAAATTTTATGTCTTATTTATTGAAAATGTTCTCTGATTTATTAATGAGATACCATACATATATATATATATATATATATATATATATATATATATGTATATAAAATAAAAGCAAATTACTTTTGTAAGTAAAAAGGAATAATTCAAAGAATAATTCCGCTTTAGTTACGTTCAAAGTCAGTCAAAAGATTCACTTCTAAATGTTGAAAATATCAAAAGACAACTAACCTAAATTAATGGTACACAACAAAATACCCTATCATATAGAGCTTTGAATGGACGAGGGTGAAATAAAAAGAAAACGCAAATAGAAAGAAAAATAAGAGTGTAGGAACTGTAAAAGAAGAGAAAAGAAGAGAGACTACTTGCTTTAGGCTCACAAAGAATCCATAATAAACTTTGGACATCTGCTCTACTTTTTAGCACCAAACCAACAAACAATTTTTTTCTTCTTATTCGTTTTCTATTTTTCTTTTTCTTCTTAAAGGAAACGAAGAAAATAAAAAATAAGAATTGAACAAGAAAAAAAGAAGATTAAAAAATCTACTCCAAGCCTTAAGGAATGCTCTTCGTTTTGATGTTTTTTCTAACATTTTTGTGATTTATTTGTTGAATTTTTAAAAAAATAAAACGCAACTGGAAAAAAATAAAAGAAAAACACAAAGTTGGGGTATGCATGTAAATTCGAACTTTGTAAAGAGCACATTTTTGCATATAAAATTTCTAAATTTGAATTTATTAAGAACTAATGAAAAGTAATTTCTTAAATTACGTTATTCGTTAAAATATTATACTTAAAATAAGGTGTGGTGTCTTGAACATATGGCTTGATATAAGTCGATTGGCGTGCTTCAATAAACTACTATACTGAAACTTTGGGAAGCTAGAAAAGAAAAATTCCGTGGTAGCTTCTAAACAATATAAATAAAATACAAAATAGATTTTTCTACCTAGTTTTATTATGCTAAAATTGAATATCGGAAAAAGTACTCGTACGACATATTATTTGAAAGGCTTATGCGAGATCTAAAACTTTTATTCTGAAAGATTTTTCAAAACTAGATCTGAGAGGCCACAAAACTCGAAAAAAGGCCTTAGGAAAAAAAATTTGGCACTAACATTTCGGATTTTACGAGTAGTAAATTTAAGAAGAATTTTATCAGCGGGCAATTCGCGATCCTATAATAGACCATTATTCATCGCGAGAATTTTAAACATGAACAAAGTTTCAATATAGTTATGTGGGGTATAAAGAGAAAGACGTGCGTTCTAGTTTATAATGAAAAATATATTTGGCAGAACATGTGGGCTTGAAATTTGAATTAAGTTACAAATGGAATATCTAATTTTTAAACGAATCACTTTCATGCACCAAAGTCAGATTCGTTTAGATTAGTGATATCGAGAAAAATATAAATCAAGTCGTATTGAAAGCACAAACTCATTTATTAACCTAAAATTTTCTAATTAAGTTTTAATTTTTAGTAGCTTACGAATAAATAATTTAAGAACTAATAATTTTATAATTCAAAATCCACCATTCAAAAACATTTTCTTAATGTCTCCAATAAAAATTATGTAAGTTACCAGAACAGACGGTCTGCCATATTTTGCCTTCATTTTTGATTTTTCAAATTTCTAGTTGTTAAAAACAAAAATAAATGAGAATTTCTTAACATAAAATGTTTTCGTTATTGTAATGGAACAGTACAATTGTATTCTGGTAACCAAGTCTATGTGCTTTCTTTTTGTGTTTTTGTTTTTTTTTTTTACTCCAATTGTTGCCCATTCTATTCTTGTTTATTAATGGCTCAAGAGTTCAACTTAAATTTTTGTTCATTTAAAGAAAAAGTTCCAACAAAATAAAAACATGAAAAAGAAAAATTTAAAAAACGACAAGAAAAAACTTTGAAAATTCCATAATTTGCAAAAACAAAGTGTTAAAAATATAACAAAGCTTTCATCCAATTTCTATCCTTTTGAAAATGAAAATTAAACAAAAAACATTTTT